AATTTCTAGTTTCTTTATTTTGGGAGCTCGCTGAAGCCTTCATGGATTGCCTCTTTATGTGATTTGATATTGACTGTTGTCTCCGAGCCATCAGTAAGTTCTTATATTTATTTTATGTTTGCTTACTGTGTCCTAGCTTCTTGTTTTCTTGTGATATGCCTAAATAGGCTGCTCATATGAGCTAGTTTGATTATTGGCACCTTTGAAGCTCTAATGTCTTGTCACCAGGTGGTCAGATCTGTTACTAGGTATGTGAGCTCAGGAGTCCACCCACTCCTCCTGTATGGATTCAGCTCAGGTGTCCAGGTAGATAGCCACCAAGTGTGTGGTGTAAGCTCTCACTCAAACAGTCCTAGACAAGCATGGGTGATTGGTGTAGGCACAGGCATCTGGCTGCAGCAGTGGGACACACTCTGAGCAAGGCAGGGGGCTGATGGCCGCCCCCGAGTGTCCAGGAGGAAGACATGTCCCTGTTTCCTACAGCATGTAGGTGGGTGGGTTTTGCAGCTGGACTACGAGCACCTAATGCTGTTGGCTGTAAGGACTGGTGGGAGGGCACCTCTTATTCATGGGCCCCTCTCGCAGGTGGCTAGGTGGTGTGGGTGGAGCCACCAGTCCTGAGGTCCCTGATATGCACAGGTGAAGAACCTGCATAGTGAGCAGAGCAGTGTCAAATGTCAAGAGCCTCCCCCTTCACAGCTGAAACAGTTGAAGTTAGACTTCAGGTATATACCCCGATGTACTGTGGTAATGAGGGCCTACGCTGCTGAAATAGGCCCACACAAGTCTCCGCAGGGGTAAAAGGCACTCAATGTCCACGGATCCCTTATGCCTGTGCCTACCCAAAGGAGCTGTGCCTACCCTGGGTTCCTGGCTTAAGGGAGCCAGCAGTTTATTTTTTCCCATTTTTTAATTTGTTCACTCTCCAAGACAGGGAGAATGGCTCAGGGCACGTAACAGATCCTACTTCCAGCCCAGGGGACTTGGCAATTGCTGAAGCCAGCCTGGGACCCAGTACAGAGTAAGCAGCAGGGAGGTAAATGAGAAAGAAGTTTTTTCCTAAGGCTTGTGTTTTTGATTCGCGCAATAGACTATACACAAGTACATATCTTTCACCAATCAAGGGCTGCTTCTCACTGGTTCTGGGTGGCTGTATAGACTTTCAGTGGCTGGGTCTCTCCTTGTGCGGAAAACATGCCTCCCGAGCATGGCTGGTTGCCTGCCTCACCGCTCACTCTGGAGCTGATCAGGCCTGAAGGGCTCAGGCTCTCGCCGGGTCAGGTCTGGCAACTCCTTGCTGCTTTCAAACTGTCTCTCCCTCTCCCTGCAACTCAGTCTGGTTCCTCAATTTTGCCTTAAATGTTCAGGGCTCCTAGATTCACTTGTTCTTTTCGGGTCTTGGCTGTAAGAAGGTCCACCAGAAGCATCTGACTTCTCTGCCATCTTGGCCCCGCCTCCTCGTGACTATGTCTTTTTTTGCTTTGAAAAAGTTTTATTTTAAAAAGTTATAAAGTTTTTTTTGGTCTGAATTCCAGAGCAAGTAATGTGTCCTACTGTTAGGACTGGATCATAAAATTCTCTCCTCTGCTTCTCTGTGCTCCTTCCCCTTCTGCTAGCTGAATACAGATAATGACATGACAGTCGGGGTTGAAAAAGCCGTAAGACAGAAGAGCCAATGTTAGCCTATGTACCCAAATGACTGTATGGAGAAGAGCTGTCCCACTGGGTAAGGAATGAACAGAAATTATGTCTGAATCATTATATTTTGGGTTCTATTTGTTCAACAGTTTAGCCTACCCTAATACTAGACCTCTTTCCAGCCCTATCTCCTACAACTTCCCTGAGATGATGACCCTATTCACTAGTCAAACTAGCATTTGCTTCACTGTGTCCTATACATCCTTTATCTGTCTCGGAGTCATTTATCCTATTCTTTCCGAAATACTCCTTTGTCTATGGGACTGCCTACCTATCCTTCTCAGGCTTTACTCAAGTCCTACCTCCCTTATAAAGCTTTCTCTGATCTCTTCAGCTGGAAAGATTTTAACTTCTCTAAATAAGTATTTCCCTCTTCTAAATATGTATATAAGTACAAGACTTGTAGTCTGGTAATACAGTCATGTGAGTGCACAGGTTTGGAGTCAGATAACCTGGAGACAAATGTTGTTTCAGACACTGATATCTATCTTAGTTAAGTTTTATTACTAACTGTTAACAGGTATCCAATAAGCATCTGTTAAATTTTATGACTCCAACATTTTGATATGGTGCTTCCTTAGAAAGCTAGAAATAGAAATACCATGTGATCCAGCAATCCCACTCCTAGGAATATATCCTAGAGAAATAAGAGCTGTCACACGAATAGACATATGCACACCCATGTTCACGGCAGCATTGTTCACAACAGCAAAAAGATGGAAACCAACCTAGATGCCCATAAACAGATGAGTGGATAAACAAACTATGGTACATACACACAATGGAGTACTATGCAATGATAAAGAACAATGAAGAACCTGTGAAGCATCTCATAACATGGATGAAACTGGGGGACATTATGCTGAGTGAAACAAGTCAATCACAAAAGGACAAATATTGCACGAGACCTCTATTTTAAAAACCCATGAAAAAATTCACACACAAAAAGTAACAATCTTTGTTGGTTACGAGGGATGGGAGGGGTGGGGGAGGGATATTAAATAGACAATAGATAGGTGGTATCTTTGGTGAAGGGTGAGACAGTACACAATACTGGGGAAACCAGCACAACTTGTACAAGGAAAGGTCATGGAAGCTCCATAGACACATCCCAACTCCCTGAGGGACTGAACTGCTGGGCAGAGGGCTGTGCAGATGATGGTCTCGGGGAACATCTAGCTCAACTGGTATAATACAGGTTATAAAGATAATGTTCTACATTCTACCTTGGTGAGTAGCTTCTGGGGTCTTAAACGCCTGTAAGCAGCCATCTAAGATACTCCACTGGTCTCACCCCTTCCGGAGCAAGGAAGAATGAAGAGAACAGGATACAAGGAAAAGATTAGTCCAAAGGACTAACGACCACAGCTACCAAGGCCTCCACCAGACTGAGTCCAGTACAGCTAGATGGTGCCCAGCTACCACCACCGACTGCTATGACCGGGATCACAACAGACAGTTCTGGACAGAGCTGGAGAAGGATGTAGAACAAAATTCTAACATACACA